AGGATGAATTTGGCTCTACTCAATGAGTAAATTTTTCTTAAGATATTACCTGTAGTTTTCTTTGGATAGATTATGTGACATTTTTATTACTTCTGCCTCTGAACAAAAGTAGATTTTTCATTTTCATTTATGATAGGTCTTGTAAATGTCAAATCCCTTGTTAGAAAGTCAGAGTTAACGTTCTAAAAGTCAAAGGATGATATAAATAATGTTCAAGCATAACACATTTAGAGTTTGAAGTAATTTCATGTCACTTTTTCCTGCCCACCCCCCTAAAATCAAGATAACCTACGTTTCAAACAATTATTTGAAAGAAAGAAAGCAAACTACAGGAAGAAAAAAAATCTAAAGACATAATATTCCACACTGTGCTATCTATCTATATTTCAAGTATAAATAAAAAACAGGAACATACAGGGGCACCTGACTGGCTAGTCATAAGAGCATGCGACTCTTGATCTCTGGGTCATGGGTTCAAGCCCTATATTGGGTCTAGAGGTTATTTAAATAAATAAGCTTTAAAAAAATCATGAACATACAAGTAAAACTAATGTGAGTTCCATTTGCTATGACTAGTATTATACATAATAAGTTAATTAACCCTGACACCAATTCCTTGGAACTTTTACAGAATTATGGAGGACTTAAAATTAGATTTCTATCAACTTTAGAAGTTAAGTTAAAAACTTTTTTCTTCCTGTTATCTCCAAGGAAATAAAATTGTTCAAGTATATTCATGTTTAGGTTGTAGCTTTCATTTATTTTCTCAGTTTTTAAGAAATTGCAAACTGAGAGATTATTTAACATGCTTTCAAAAGCAAGAGGGAATGGCTCAGCTTCCTTACAGTGTTAAATAACAAAAGTTCAACAGAGTAAATTTTAAAGATCAAATCAGCTTTATTAATTCATTTATGAATTGGGCAACAGATTCATGCTCACAGATGAGAGCTCCAAAGGGCTACAGAAAGGGAAAGGTTTTTAAAGACAGGACAATGAAGTCATAAGCAAATAAAAAGATCTTTCAGGCGAGGTTACCTTCCTTTAGGGACAAAAAGGTCTTAGTGTGTGGATTACTTCATCTTCCTTTGGGGGATGGAGAGGCCCCCATGTGACAGATGACCATATAGGTACTGACCAGAAAATTCCTGACTGACCAGTTAAGACTACATTTCTTGAGGAGGTTGTAAGTGCAGTTATGTTAGGTTTTAAGCCCCAGTTTGGTGATATGCCCTAGTATAAGTGACTCCATTTGGGGTCTGTAGCTTTCTTGTTGACATTGGAGAAGAGTGAGTTCAGGATACTAATATAAGTTTAGGGTCATAAACTCAGATGCTTTGGGGGGCCAGACAAATGACACACGTGAGAGGTGTGTGCCAGGTAGGGATGAGGAGGAGCAGAATACCTGCCCATCTGCTATACTCTAAGGAAGCACGATCTTGCAAAAGGGGCATCAAAAGGCCTCGGAGTTCTTCGATGTCATTGTTGTTTTTATGTTTGTTTTTTTTAATGTTCAATCTCCTGATTTTCTAACATTGACCATTACTTTTCTGGAAACATTGTGTGTGGTCTGTGAGCTGCATTTGGCTTACAAGCCAATCATCTGCAAGCTGTAACTGTGCACGAGAACTTCATAATGGGAGCTAATCCATAATGACAATAATTTATAATAAGAAATACAGTTGTTGGGGCACCTCGATGGCTCAGTCAGTGAAGTGTCCTACTCTTGATTTCGGCTCAGGTTATCATCTCACCAGTCACGAGATCAAGGACTTCATTGGGCTCTGTGCTGACACAAGAGCCTGCTTGGGATTCTCTCTCTCCCTCTCTCTCTCTCTCTGCCCCTCCCCCTGCTCAAATAAGCATGCATGCACATGCTCTCTCTCTCTCTCTCAAAATAAATAAACATTTAAAAACTACATAATTGTTAAGTTCAAATGAATTCTCATGCTGGGGTTCTGAGCAGTGTATATGAGAGATTGAGCAAATAGGAAAAGGTTGGTTGGTGACTTAAGAATCACAGTAAACAGTTGCAGGATCCTTGATGATCATATCATCCAGTTATAATAACTTGATACCCTCATTTACTCAGTAGATTGAGGGTCCTGAGTGTATTGAGTGCCCTGCATGGGCCAAACACTGTGTCAGTCACCAGAAATACAGCTGAGAACAAATACAAAGTGCCTGTCTAGAGGCAGGAGGTAGTAAATGAATAAGTAAATGAGAAAACTAGTACTTAGCAAGAGCTATCACTCAGAAGAGTAAAAGAGGATAATGCGATAGTGGGCACTGGACTGGCTCCCCCATACTAGTCTCACCCTGAAGGTTATCAGAGTGTTAAATTCTCCTTTCCTCCTTGCAGTCTAGCTTTCTCTGTGAAGTCATTAGTGATGTCTTGATGAAGTCCAGTACAATTTAAATTAGTTACTTTTTAATCTTCTTGACTCCATTTGGAGGGGGGAGAACCTTGTTCTGAAAGGGTTTTAGGGAAACCTCTAATCTAATCAGGAACTTAATTACAAGTTAAGTCAGGGCTGGGTCAGAACTGCAGATGGCTAATTGCAAACATTTTGTACTGGTTCCTTTTAGCTTCAATTTTAGAGGGTGCCATTTTCTAGTGTGACTCCAAATTCTGAGAATGTACCATTTGAGGATTTTTATAGCCTTTTTGGGACAAGGACTAATAATAACATGACAATGAAACTTCTCCCCAGGGCTAGGGTTTCTCCCACCTAAAAATGTATATTAACAAGTATGTCTTAAAACTCCTCTTGGGTCGCCTGGCTGGCTCAGTCGTTGGAGGGTGTGACTACTGATCTCAGGGTTGAGTTCGAGCCCCACTTTGGGTATAGATTACTTAAAACTAAAATCTTAAAAAAAATTTTTAAACAAAAAACCCCCAAAGTCTTCCTATGGTATTATGATCTTCCCCTGCATGTTAAAATGGAGACGCCCTGGAGTGTTGGGTCAGAAGATCTGGGTTCAAAGCCAGTTATTTGGCTCTGCTGTGGGCCAACACTTTGATGTGACAGACACTCGACCTTTATAGCCTCATCTTGGAGACCCACCACTTGGGGATCCTGCGAGGACTGAATGAGAGTGTATATTTGAAAACCAACCCTGCAGAGTTCAATATTATTTATTATTATGATTGGAATGACCATCAAGATCACTGGTAATGCTTATTTTGTGATAAGTTCTAAGAAAACGAATGGGTGCCTATGACGTTGGGGTACAGAGGCAGAGCCCAACCACAAAATAGAACGCTTCTGGAAAAATCAGCCACTAAAAAGGGAAGAAATGTCTGTAAAGTCATATTTGAATTCAGAAATAAAATGTAGATTTTACATAATAGTAATAGTGGTGGTAATAAGAAAAAGCTACTATTAAGCACTTTCTCTGTTCCAGGCATGATCAGCACTTTGCATATATAATCCCTTCTAATGGGGAGAGGGGAGGAGAGAAAAAAAAATCAAGGTAATAAAATAATAAAAACTTGGAAAAGAAATCATTACTATGCAATGTGCCCTAACACACACGCCCCCCCCCCCAAAGCTCTTTAAATGCGTGCAGGTTTTGAGACCCATTTCTCGGAGGTGTGGTGTCTTCTGCAGCCCTGTGGGCCCCTTTGGCCTACAATTATCTAATCTCCCCTTCTCAGCCACTCAAGAAAGTCCATGACCTCCTCCCATCCCCAAGGCCCAGCTCACCAACAGCCTTCAGAAATCTCTCAGATGTGCCAGTATTTTAGCAGGAAGCACATAGTGCCCTCAACAACAACAACAAACACAACAACAAAAAGAACTGCAGGTTAAAAATGTAAGCAAATAATGGAAATGCAAATTAATACATTCTTTATCTGTAGCTTAGAGTGTATTCTTTTGTAAAGCAAAAGCATTTCTTTCACATTTCCCCCCAAATTTGCTCTAAGACTTCCATTACTAAACTTCTCAGAATGTGAAATGTCTCCAACATGCCGGGACGCTGGGGTGAAAGGTGCCACGCTATTCTCATTTCTGCCAGGCCCCGGGTGCAGGAGGAAATATGCTAATACAGCCGTTTGCCGCAGGGCTGGTGTTATTTATATAGTGCTGGCTGGGCAAGGTTCGCGCTGGAGCACGGGAGAGGGAGAGGTCTGTCTTCATGTGTGTGAATTTAGATGTGTGCGCCTGTGCACTCGGCGTTCGAAACGTGAATTCGAGATCTTGGGGAGGGGTGGGGAATACCATCACCGTTCACGTTTATGTGTATACAGTATAACTCGTGTTGGCCATGTATCCTTCTAGCATTGTACTTACACAGCATGCATTTTGCAGTGGGGAAGAAATGGCGATTTGGGGAGTAGGTGCCGCGGTCGGTCGCGGGTCACCCGACGCTGCGGGTGAACAGCGACCTGATATTGGCAAATGCGCATTCTTGATGCTGCTCCGCGAACACAAAAAACAACCATATCTGAACCCCTAAAAAGTGCGGGGGGGGGGGAGTTGTTCCCGAACGCTGGCTACTCTTGAGCTCGGGACCCGGAATGGGGTGTGGACAGCGGGATAGCAGGCACCTCTGAAGCGAACAAAGGTCACCGAGACCCGGCGCAGGGGGTGGGTGGAAGCCCCTCGAGGCTTCGGGGAGCCAAGCCTCGAAGACAACCCGGTTCACACACTCGGCGCGCACGGCGACTCCTCCGGGACCTCCGGCCCACCCGCGCCCGCTTCTGCGCGCTCCTGCTCCTCCCCCGCCTCGCTCAGCGCAGAGAGGGAACAAGCGGGGGATCCTCCAGCCTGGCGGGAGCGGGGTGTCCCGTTTCCCCGCCCCGCCCCCTCCCGTGGATCACGCGGCAGCGCGTCCCGGCTGGAGGGGGCGCTCGCGCGCAGGAGCCGGGCGCAGCAGGTGCCGCGGTTACCTCCACCTCGGCGGGGGGAGAGGGGGCGGGCCGGGGGGCAGGGGAGGAGGAGGAGGAGGGAGGCCGGCTCCAGGAGCCGGAGAGCGCGGCCGGCTCGGCAAGCTGGGACCCGAGCTCGCGGCTTCCGGGAGGCGCCCGAGGCCGGATAAATACATCCCGGGCTCCCGGGGAGCAGCGGACCCTGCCCGCACCGCTGCCCGCGCCGCCCGCGCCGCCCGCACAGCGGTCCGCAGGGCACCGAGCCGCCCGGGTTAGGCGCGGCGCCCGCTCCTCCCCCTGCGGCCGGCGCGGAGCAGCGGCGAGCGACGGGCTCGGCCGCCGGCTCCCGGGCCGCGGAGCCGATGAGCGGCGGCGGCTGAGGGCCCGGGCCGGCCTCTGCCCGCCCTCTGCCCGGCGCCCGAGCGGGGCCGCAGCGCCCGGGGCGCAGGGTCCGGGCCGGAGACATGGGGGCGGACTGAAGCACCCGCGGCGGCCGAGCGCTCTCTCGCGAGCCGCGGGCCCTGCTCCGCGGCGGCGGCTGCGGGCGCCCAACCCGGCGCACTCTGCCCGGGGCGCCCGCGGGAGCCTCCGCCGCGCTTCTATGCGCCTCTGCGGGCGCCGTGGGCCCGGGCCATGGCGATAGACCGGCGGCGCGAGGCAGCGGGTGGCGGGCCCGGGCGGCAGCCGCCCCCGGCGGAGGAGAACGGCTCCCTGCCGCCCGGGGACGCGGCGGCCTCGGCGCCCCTCGGGGGACGCGCGGGCCCCGGCGGCGGTGGCGGGGAGATCCAGCCGCTGCCCGCCCCGCATCCCGCCGCCGGCGGCCAGCACCCGGGCTGCAGCTCGGCGGCGGGGGCCCCGAGCCTCCTGTTGCTGGACTACGACGGGTCGGTGCTGCCCTTCCTCGGGGGCCTGGGCGGGGGCTACCAGAAGACCCTCGTGCTGCTCACCTGGATCCCGGCGCTCTTCATCGGCTTCAGCCAGTTCTCGGACTCTTTCCTCTTGGACCAGCCGAACTTCTGGTGCCGCGGGGCCGGCAAAGGCGCGGAGCTGGCGGGGGTCACCGCCACGGGCCGGTGGGACGCCGGCGACGCGGCCAACTGGACCAGCCCCCCAACCACCCCATTCTCCACTGCCTCCTGGGGGGCCGTGGGCAACCTTAGCAACGGCAGCGGCGCGGACGGGGGCGACACGCCACCCCTGCCGTCCCCTCCGGACCAGGGGGACAACGCCTCCAACTGCGACTGCCACGCGTGGGACTACGGCATCCGCACAGGCCTCGTCCAAAACGTGGTCAGCAAGGTAAGGGCTGCGACCTCCCGGGCCCCGCGTCCTTCTCCCCAGGCTTTCCCTCCTGGATTTTCTCCGCCCTTCCCTCCGTCTCTCTCCGTGCAGACCACGGTCCCTTAAAGCGATGCCAGCCTGTGTGTATGCATCCCGCGTTGGCTTCATCCTCCATCCCCCCAACGAGATGCACTTGCTTGGTTGTAAAGCAGGGGCTTTTCGCTGCCCTCCTCGGGGACACTGCCCCCCCCAACCCTAAGGGGGCTCCACAGCCTTGCCTACTTTGCACCCAAACTCCTGTCGGAGTGCACATTTGGAAAGAGCGCCCCTCCCGCTAAAATGACTTGAGCTGCCTTCCCCTACCCTTCAGACTGTCACCCTCGTCCAGGCGGGGGTGCCCCTTGCGGGTCAGGCCGCTGACCTGTCAGCCAGCCAGCTCTGCAAGACTTGCCTCATTCAGGGTCTGATGGCCAGAACCAGGACCACGGCGCTGGCTCTAGTCTTCTGCGGAGCTAGTTGTCTTTATGTCTCCCACAAAGAAATATCTATCCCTGGGACCGATGTCATATTCCCAGGTGTTCTTTCTGGCTGACTTCAGTCATCCCGCGCTGGGTTTGGAAACAGACTATTAAAGCCAACTAAAGAACCCAAGTGCTAGCCACAGAAGCAAAGAGCTTGGGAATATTCCCTTTCCCTCCTCCTCACGCTCCTTTCTCTCCAAAGATTGGGATTTTTGGCTTTAGATTTTGCCCCCCCAGCGTCCCCTGAAAGGTTTTCTCGGGACTTGAGTCCTATCCCTATAAAGTGTCCGAAGGAAACTAAGAATCTGTTTTGTATTCCGGGTCCACAACTGCTCTTATATAGCAGCTGCTTTTGTCTGAGGGAGGCATTGAGACTCTGGTAAGCTTTAGCAAAGCAACTGCCTTGCTGAGAGTCCTGCCGAGCCCCTCAGCAGAGGTGTTTGCATTGTGTGAAATGGAGCCGCAGTATTTTTTGAGATGTGTGGCAGGCAGAAAAATGGAGAAGGGACAATGTCAGAAATCCAGTCCCTAAGAGATCTGTATTTCTTCTTTTCTTTAACATCTAAGAGACATTGTATGCCCATTTGTTAAGCAATTTATGTTTTTTGCCCTTTCTGTATTTTAAATAACTAATTTACGTTTTGAAATAGGGTAGACCTTTCCTCTCCCACCCTTCTGGGTAGTTCTGGGCAGAGTTTTAAATGCTTTGTTTAAAAGTGAGACTGAAATTGAAAAATTTATAACAATCAATGTGCATGTGCTTTCTCCCCCAAACGGGTGTTAGTAAACAGTTGTAGCTCATGGATGTGTAAGATGAAACTCTTATATCATCATAATCGCTGTTTTAATCTTGTACCAGACTGGCAAGAAATGATCTGTCCTGTGGGAACTGACGGGATTCACTATTAATGGGGAAGATCCTGCAGGCTTGGTTCACCTTGATATGCACCCCACCCCCACCCCCAGCCTCACAGCCTCTCCTTTCCAAAGGTGTTTTGCTGTGACCCTTTCCCATCCACGGAGGGCAATATTTGTTTGTTTGTTTTTGTCACCATCATGGAAAGATTCAGAACAATGACTACAGTGACAATTTTTGATACTCTTTGTGGAAGTAAGGATTTGGCAACATTTTCAAATACTTTAAACCCCTTTTTAAAGTAGAGGAGGAATAATATAAATCAAAGAGTTTAGAGGCTGTTCCATTCTGTGGCCCAGGGAGAGCGGAATGTGAAAGTTAGGAGGTGGGAGAGAGGATCATTATCCTAGCAGTGGGACCCAGGAACAGCTATTCACACTGCCATGGATAGTGGGATGAGAAAACTAAAATAGTTCTTGAAAACTGGCTTTTAAGGCATATTGGAGAGCAGGACAGTTTTTCTAAATTAGCACTCAAGAGGGTCAAAGATGGCAGGGATGTGTGCTATATGCTTTTGGGGTGCTTGATAGTTATGCCAAGGTTATTTGTAGCAGACACAGCGAGAGTGAGAGCTAAAGACCTCTGGACAATAGTTAGAGATGCCTTTTCTTATAAAATAAAGACTAGAAAGGACACTATTGATTTTCACACACAAATGAGATCTAAATAAAGGACTGTCCTTCCATAACATTGTTTCCATAACAAATGCTCCTTGAGCACATTTGGCATAAACTAAGACTGGACTTTCACTTCAGTGGGCTGTGCACACTGGATGCTGTATCAGATGTACCAATATGGAATGTATACTGTGATGGGTGCAGAATTCTAGAGCTCAGGTGCCTGGCAGCTTTGTTTGTGAGAAGAAGCAGAAGTGGAGATGGTCACCTTCTGTCTGTGGCTTGAAAAGTTCAGAGTCTGAAAAGTTGCCTTCTGTACCTTCTTTCCCCACTCCGAACCACGATCTTCCCACTTGCAAATAATCTCACATGGTGTCTTTGTCGTTAGATTTGCCTCAGCCCGTAGGTGCCCTTCCAATATGTGTTCTATTCTGTCCCTAAGTATTAGGTGAGGAGGGGATATAGAAAATCTGCCAGGCATATATTATATTATATTGCATTATATTATACATATATATTATGTTCTGAACATATGTTGTATTATAAATATATTATAAATATACATTATTAACATATACATGCATTACATAGACTATCACTTACATGCATATAATACCACCTACACACGTGAAACTGCCAAGCCATTGGAATCCCAGGTTATTATAGTTAAAAGGGACCTTTGGGGTGACAAGCTGTCTCCCCTCCTGATTAATATCCCTGACATGGGTCCCCGTTCCAGGATGGGAAGGGAGGGCCTCACTGGTATTGGCTAGGTAGCTCACTCCGTGGTTGCTCTTCCTTGCAGCCAAGCATATTTCTTTGGTGAATATAACTCAGGTCATCTCACATTTATTTGTGTGGCTTGCTTCTCTGAAGGGTTTTTTTTCCTTTATATAATATGTGTTCAGATATTTGAGGATACCCAAGTAATTTCTTACTAAAAAATCTCCAACTACTTCAGACATTCCACACATGACAAAATTGCTCTACTTGGCATATGTGTGTCTTAAACAGGACACTCTGAAAACAACCAGGCAGGCCACGTGTGTTCTAATGACAAGGGAGCATAGATGGACCCTATGCTTCCACAGACTGCATCAGTGCATTGATCATGCACTTGATGCATGAAAGGCTTTCTGTCTTTACAGGATTGCATTAAGTCAAGAGATTTCTCAGGCTGTACCTCAGTGACATGGCACATGATGTAGATTTCATCATAATAGTTTTGGGTTGTTAGATCTCTCCTGTTACGATCTTTTTATTCTTGTTTTATGCCTTGGTCCTTGGTATTTGTTATCTGTTCCAAAATTTTCAATGCCTTCAAAATAATAATAATAATAATAATAATAATAATAGGACTTTTTTGTGCAACCATATGAAGTTCTCCAAACATTTATTATGTTGTTTCTTTTCATCAAGAATGCTGAGGGGCACTTGGGTGGCCTAGTTGGTTGAGCGTCCAAATTCAGCTCAGGTCATGATCTTGCAGTTTGAGGGTTTGAGCCCCACATCAGGCTCTGTGCCGACAGCTCAGAACCTGGATCCTGCTTCAGATTCTGTGTCTCCCTCTCTCTCTGTACCTCCCCCACTTGTGCTCTCTCAAAAATAAACAGTAAAATTTTTTTTTTAACGTTGAATAATCCTGGTGCCTGGGTGGCTTAGTTGGTTAAGTATCTGACTCTTGATTTCTGCTCAGGTCATGATCTCACAGTTTGTGGATTTGAACCCCGCATCTGGCTCTGTGGTAATGGGCAGAGCCTGCTAGATGTTCTCTCTCTCCCTCTCTCTGCCCTTCTCCTGCTCATGCTCGCTCTCTCTCTCTCCCTCTCAAAAATAAGTAAATAAAACTTAAAAAAATAGAGAATGTTGAATAATCCAAGGCCAGCCTTAACACTGAGCATTATCTTGGATTTTCAGTTAATACATACCTGAGTAGGCCAGATGCTGTGTAGCTTGAGCCCTGTGTTCAACTGCATAGCTCTGAATTTTATCTCCCAGCCATATTGAAAAACTGTGTCTGTGCTTTCCTGAAACAAATCTAACCAATCTCTGCCATCACTTAGAGGTCAGCTGTGGGAGAACGGAGACCGGACATGGCCCCTATCCCACACCAGCCTTCCTTAGCAGCTCAGATGGCCAAAGATTTTATACAAGGTTAAGAAAACACAATTCTGCTGACTTTAAAATATTCTTCTTAATAATTTGCATCATTATCCCACATTGTTCCAAGTGAATCCTCCTTGGTTTTCAACGCTCACCACTTCCTTGAGTAATAAGCGCCATCCTTTTCCTATATGTGAAGTTTGGGGTCTTTGTCCCTACTGATTCTTCTGTTCTCCATGAATTCTCAGAGATCGCTGGCTTTCTTCCTGTAAGTACATCTGAGAGTTGTTTAAATATCCTGGGAAGCAATTTGTATTCTTTTTCTGGGGCTTAATTCTAGAAGTATTTAAAGTGATTCAGTACAATTTAATTAGGGTTAAAAATAATTACAATTTCATTGCAATAGTAATATTTTAAAAATAACCCAGAGTTAGGTCACCCTAATGGTGTTTTTATTTATTTTGTCTAGTGTATACAACACAGCAGTGAACATCTTTATGCATATCTATTTTTAGAAAGTGACTGTAATAGATAATGTATACATATGTTACAGAAAGCGGACAGTAAAAGCAACATTTCTAGCCATCCCTGCCTCCAGTTTTCCTCTTGAGAAGCAACCATGGTTACCAGTTTCTTATGTATCCTTCCAGAAATAGTCTAAGTATATTTTCATTTATATATTTTCTTCTCACAAACAATGACATAATATGTACATTGTTCTCTTTTTTCACCTATATTGAGTATGGATGCCTATCACTACACAGAGAGCCTCTCATTGTTCAGTCATTGTATGACCAGGCCATAATTTGATTAGTCACTAAGAGGGCATTTAGGTTGTTTCCAGTCTTTGCTATTACCTAA